GTTGTTGCTTTCAGAGCTCAGATACTCCCAGGTACCTTGTGGCCACTCTCAGCTCCTCCTCCACAACTACAACTGGACTCCTCTGCTCCCATCTGCTCCTAAAAATACAGCTCTCAGACAAAGCTTGTTTTCTCAGGCGTTTTGGTGACGCAAGTCCAAGATGAAAACATCCCTCGTTCCAAGGGGAGAGATGGATCAGTCTCCAGAACACCCAAGTTAAAGCCCAGCCGTGCCCTCCCTCCGTGTAACTCTCTTACCAATACACATCGATATTATCACAGTAACACAGGTTTTGGGGGAGGAATAAAATATCCTGGTTGCCTGAACGCGGTGAGAAGGAACTCTGGTGAAACTCCCTTTTACCAAAATAGGACAATGTTTATTCTGTCCCGAAGCTGCTTTTTTAAAAATAATAATAAAATTTTGAAGAGCAGACGCTTGGTTGGTTAAGTGCATTCCCCTCCCTAAGCCAGCACTTGCATCTTCTGGCCTGAGAACTGAGACACAGGGAGATTTAGATCATTGAGTTTCTAATTATAAACCCATTAAATAGTAGTTTTACGATTACCTCAAGCCCAGTCATTCTGCAGCAGAGGAGCTGTGGGATAGGAACACAATTTCCATCCTCTCCCACAACACAGGATGGAGAGACAACCAAATCGTGCTCTGGGACTCCCAGCACAGCCTGGCTGGGACCCTGGTGGCCAATTCCCCTTCCCAAAACCATCCTAGAGCTCTCCAAGCCCAGCAGCCCAACCCTGCTCTGGGGCCACAGCACAGCCAGGAAAAGAGTCACAGCTCTGTGCAGAACAGGGAGAAGGATGAGTCACTATTTACGAGACTGATGACAACATTCAGGACCAAAAAATAAGCTCATCAGCCCTCTGGAGCACCTCGGGTTAGGAAACCACAGGGGACAGGTTGTGCATGACCAGGCACGTGGAATTCCTGGTGCCACACACACTCGTGTTGCTGTTTGGCAACAGAAATGGTCAAGATTAATGTTGAGAGGAAGAAATAAAACTCGAACAGGAGGTTTCTGAACCAGCACACGGGTTCTCCCTCCTCCTTCCTTCCCCCACCAATTGCCAGAGATGTCTCAACACCCCAGTTCCCCTTCCAAAGAAGTAGCTCTGCTCCTTTCATGGCCAAATTACCGTGGCAAGAAATCCCCATTTAGATCCATCTCGAGCAGACCATTCAGACAGCAAGCATTTCCTTCCCATAACCCGAAAACAGCCAAACACCATCACATTTCTTTCCTGCCATCAAAGAAAGCCTGTCCCGAGACAGTTCACAGCAACTGAAAACATTTGGCCATAAAGCAAATGTGCTCCCTGGTACTGACAGAAATACTGAGTGCAGCCCCACCAGGCTGGCAGTGTCTGAGCACACTTCACCCCGGGAATGCTGGGGACCATGGCAAGAGCTTCCACTGGAACCATTTGTTTTCTTCCTGCCTTCCCTACATCATGGAGCACATCTCTCTACTCATCCTAACTGTCAATATTTTTTTCCTGCAGCTTTTAAGTAAAATAAACCCCCCTGTAATTTGTCAGTCAGTGTCCTGACCACTAAGGCTTCATAAAGAACAACACTTGATACAAAAATACATTTTTCCAGCCACATATAAACCATCATCCTCGATGGAAGAACAAGGGCTCTGTGCAGCCATCTGCATTTTCTCCAGTAAGGACAAATGCTAAAGTGTTTGGAAGCAAAATAAATCTACGGAAGAAATGGCCCCACAGAAACTTTCGGGGCTGGAGATTTCTCAATGTGGTTCACACTAAGAACAGCTACAGTGGAACAAGATCTCCTCAGGAAGAAATTCCTCCCTCTGCTCGTGGGGAGGGGCTGGGATGGAATTCCCAGAGAGGCTGTGGCTGCCCCTGGATCCCTGGAAGTGTCCAAGGCCAGGCTGGACAGGGCTTGGAGCAGCCTGGGCTGGTGGAAGGTGTCCCTGCCCATGGCAGGGGGTGGGATGAGACGAACTTCAAGGTCCCTTCCAACCCAAACCATTCCCTGATTCAATGATCTTCCAAAAATCACCTTGGGTGGGGCACCAGTTTGTCACCCAAGGGTGTTCCAGGTGGCTTCCCTGCACTCCGGGACTGGAAGAGGTTAAATGCTGCAGGTCGGACCAGGTCGTCAGAGCAGCTTAACAGCCCCTCGCTGAGGAATCCACGTTGAGAATGGGTGAAGTTACACCCATTTAGTTTTCAATGGTCTCCAATCAACCTACACAGCACAACAAAGCCACACAGCACAGCAGGACAGTCGTGGAGGAAGTTGGCAGATTTGGCTACACCAGGAAGAAAATCAATGAAAAAACAAAACATACTGACAGAATCGAAGGCAGAAAACGTTTGAAATGGCAAATGCAGCATCTTCGAACGAGTCTTCTAAAGAACGTGGGGAAAATCCACAGTTAAAGTTTTCTATTAGGAAAAAAAACCAACATAACCCTCAAACACTGCCATTATCTCAAGCTCCCCCTGAAGAACAGATTCTCCACCCAAACAATACCAACAAAGACACGACTTTGGTTTCTCCGCTGGAACTCAACTCCCTGTTAGACTAAACTACAGAAGACAGAAATGCTCATTTCAGCAGCTTTAAAAAGCGTGTCCCTCCCCCCGACACAGATTCCACCCAGTCGGGATTTAGGGAGGTACACTGAGATCTACCTGGGCTCAGGGAGGGTCAGGAGCAGGTAAAAATTCCCCAGACAGAAGTGGTTTTCCATACAAACACAAGGTTTTTAGGGGCTAATCCCCGGCTGAGCAGCCACCCAGGAGTCATCGCAGGGCCGGGAGGGGGTGATGGATGGGGGCTGTTTAAATTGTCCTCAGAGGAAACACCCATCAACCTGCAGTCCAAATCATCCCATTTGAAAAGCTGTTTTTCCTTCCAATCTATACCCGTGCTGAAGATGCAGAACGAGCAACAGGCCCGTGCTCAGAGAACCTCATTCCCACCCTGCTCCTTCCGTGAGAGCCGGGTGCCTCGAGAGAGCAGCTCAGCAAGGCTCAGCCTGGCTCAGGGCAGGGTGACAGGCTGCGATGGATTTTAAACCATATGAATGCGGCCTGTTAAGGCCCAGCAAGAGCACAACACACCCCTGAGAATCCCAGTGTTAACTCCTCTTATCCCCAGGGCTCTGACAAGACATTTTTAAGTCCTGCTGGCATTTTTACTAATGCCAGAGGCTTGTTTAAATCCACGATAAAAATCTCGGGGTTTGTTTAACCTCCTTGCTCGCCCAAGGTTGAATTTGTTTCAGTGCATCTCCAGGTTAATACTGCTCTAATTTCCAGCTATCCGGATCATGACTGGAGGTAGGAGTGGGGTGGTGAGAGCTCATCAACTACTAATCCAATTGTTCTACATATCTCCAAGATTATTTTTCAGTTTGCTAACCTGAGCTACTTGTTGCAATAATCCTTGATCCAGTGAAATCAGCTGGCAGATCAAGGTGTGCAGTTAAGTCTGGCTCTGGCACTGGGCAGCTCATCACTCCAGCATTTGTCCTGCTCCTCCACTTCGTTTTACAGCCTGCATCAAACTCCACCTGCCAGGAAAAGCACTACCCAAACCAGCTTACTTTGTAAGCTTAAACTGGGTAATTTAAAGCTTGCTCAAGCCTGGCAGCACTGTGCTGCAGTGAGAACACACAGACATATCAAGCTCCCTGTGAAAACACAGCATTTGGTGTTTTTATTGAAAAATAAAGCTCATCAGCAACAGGAAACCTTGTATTTACCTGGCACTGAACTGTAGTGAGACTCAGCTGTGTGAGGGAAATGATAAGATGGAAAAAATTATCAGGCAAGGTCTTTACCTTGTCTTAAAACACATCTGGGGATTTCCCTTCCCTGCCAGAATCTTCCACTGGCTCTGCTGCTGCTGCCTTTGGGGTCAGCCCTGCCTGCACTCACCTGCCCCCAGGGCTGGGCTCCCCCGTCTCCAAAATGACACCGACGGCTCCAAAATGAAGGGATAAGAACGAAACTGTAAAGCCTCTGCCTCATTCCCAGTTTTTCCGAGAAAAGGCAAAAGCCACTAATAACAGGAATGAATGATAATGGTTGTTAGTTGTTATTCTAGTGAGGAAATCTAATCAAAGGCTTTCAACAAGCTTTGTTCAGGCATTTTTTTGAGCTACATACATCACTTATTTCTACCCAAAATGTACCTTAAAACAAAAGAAAACCACACATGATATCGAACGCGGCTCTCAAGTCAAAAGCAGAAAACTGAAATATTTACTACCTCGATGTGCACTGAAAAAGAAAGGAAAAAAAAAAAAGGCATACAAATAATTAAAAGAGGGGGAAAAAAAAACCCTTTAAAGCGTATCACGAGAACGGGATCAGGGAAGAGCGAGGCCACCCCTTCAGGACCAGGGGAGAATTAACCTGCATTTCTCCATCCCATCTGCAAGCTCACGGCTCTGCCACCCATTTTGTTTCAGATTAAAGGAGGGGAAAAAAAAAAACCAATTATCAAATAAAAAAAATAACGATGCCAAAGGAAGGCAGAGAACCCCCGACACCCCACCCGGGGACCGATCCCCCCGCGGCCCCGCCGGGCAGGTGACCCCGCCGCAGGTGCCACCTCGGGCATCCCCCGCGCCCCTTGCCCAGCCCCTGCAGGCGATGCCGAGCCCGCAGGAGAGCGCACACGGAGGGTTTATTTAGCACGCGAAACGCGAAATGAAAGGCAGGGCAGCGGAGGCGCGGACGGGGCGGACGCCGCGCGGCCAAGGTGAACGGCGGCCGGGCAACATGGTGGAGGCTGCGGGGAGCCCGCGACCCCCGGCCCGCGGGGAGCTCGGGGCGAGCCGCGCGGGGATGGGGCCGGGCCGGGGCTGCCAGCGGGCGGGACCCGCGGGCGGCGGGAGGGCAGAGCGGGGAGGGCAGAGCGCGGCGGGGCAGCGCGGCGGGGCTGCTCCCCCAGGGCGGGCGGCCGGCGGGGGAGGGCGAGGACGGGCTCACCTGCCATCGCGGGCTGAGGGCGGCAATGGCGCTGGGCTGCGGCAGCGCTCCCTCGGGCTCCGCTCCCCGCGGCCGCTGAGCACCCGCTCCCCTCGGCGGTCCGCGGCGAGTGCGGCGGGGCCGGCGGCCCCGGCAGGCAGAGCACGGGGCGGGACGGGCCCCGCTCCGCCCCCCGACAAGATGGCCGGGCCCGCGCCCTCAGGGCTCGGCCGCCATGGCGGCCCCTCCGCGGGGGAAAAACTGTCCTGTTTCCTTAATAAAAAATCCCAGATTATAGGAGCGTGGTAACGGTTTGCCCTAGAAAAGCACCAGTCGGAGAGGGGTCAGGTTGAAGGGACCACAGTGGTCCACATCTGGTCCAAGCTGGCTGCTGAAGCAGGGCCAGCAGAGCACATGGAACAGGGTTGTGTCCAGGTGGTTCTGGAATATCTCGACTTACACTAACATATTAATGGTTTATCCTAGAAACACACGAGTCACAGAACCACAGAAACACAGAATGTGTAAGGTTGGAAGGCACCACAGAAGGGGGACCTCAAGGTCCCAGAGCACATGGAACAGAGTTGTGTCCAGGTGGTTCTGGAATATCTCAATTTACAGTAACATATTAATGGTTTATCCTAGAAACACACGAGTCACAGAACCACAGAAACATGGAATGCCTTAAGGTTGGAAGGGACCACAGTGGGTCCAGGCTTCCTGCTCAAGCACGATCATCCCTGTGGAACAGGATTGTATCCACATGATTCTGGAATATCTCAAATTACAGTGATGTATTAATGGTTTATCCTAGAAAGGCACAAGTCACAGAAACACAGGATGGGTCAGGATGAAGGGACCACAGTAGGTCACTGGTCCAACCTCGATGCTCCAGCAGGGTCATCCCAGAGCACAAGAAACAGGGTTGTGTCCAGGTGGTTCTGGAGTATCTCAAATTACAGTGACATATTAATGGTTTATCCTAGAAAGGCACAAGTCCCAGAACTGCAGAAACGTGGAACGTATAAGGTTGGAAGGGACCACAGTAGGTCCAGCCCAAGCAAGATCATCCCAGAGCACGTGGAACAGAATCGCATCCACATGGTTCTGGAGTATCTCAAATTACAGCTATTTCTTAACTGTTCATCCTAGAAAGACCCAAATCACAGACACACAGGAAGGGTCAGATTGAAGGGAACACAGTGGGGCATCAGGTCCAAGCTCGCTGCTCCATCAGGGTCATCCCAAGGTTGTGTCCAGGTGGTTCTGGAATATCTCGAATTATAGTCACATATTAGGGGTTTATCCTAATATCCTTCATGGAACCACAGAAACATGGAATGTGTAAGGTTGGAAGGGACCACAGTGGTGGCCCTGGCCCTCTTGGGGGTTTGCTTTGGGTTTTTGCTTTGTTTGTTGGGATTTTTTAAAATTTTTATTTTTTGAGAAAAATCCAACTTTTACAATAGGAAAGTGAGCAAAAGAATCACAGAATCACAGAATCAATTAGGTCGGAAAAGACCTTTGAGATCATCGAGTCCAACCTATCACCCCACACTGCCATCCCAACTAGACCAGAGCACTGAGTGCCATGTCCAGTCTTTCCTTGAACACCTCCAGGGACAATGACTCCACCACCTCCCTGGGCAACCCCTTTCAATGTCTAATCACCCCTTCTGTGAAGAAATTCTTCCTGATGTCCAACCTGAACCTCCCCTGGCACAGCATAATGCCATGTCCTCTCATCCTAGAGGAGGCTAAGGAAGCTGAGTCCCCCGAAAGATGACACCTCCACCATATCCACGTCCTTCTTCCTACAATCCCACTTTTCTGAGATTTCCACGGGTTTCTGGAAGGGAGATGGGACAAATCTGACACAATCTCCCCCCAGCCCATGGCGGGACTTCAGACACCACTGTTTTCAGACACCACTGACATCTGTGCTCTGGTACCAGCACTGGACGCTGCCTCCCTCACGTCCCTCTGGGCAACATCTGACTTTCCTAATGGGTTTTGACAGCGTTAACTGCTTTAATTTGCCTCTTGTGCTTTCCAGGACATGCAGTTCTGACGCACCAGCTCACGGCACCTTCCGCCGCTCAGGGCTCTCCTGGGAAGCTGGGGCTGAGCCCCCCGAGCCACCTCTGCTAATCTCTGCCTCTTCTCCCCACTGCACAACACAACTCTCACCCTGCTCCCTCCCACAGTGTCCTTGAGGTAATGTTGACCCACACTGAGCTTTCAGCCCCCAAACCCTGCTGCTTATTTTATTAAGGTTCCTCCCTCACAGCCCCAAGTGCATCCCAAAGCCTGTGCATCCCAAAGCCTGTGTTCCCCAAGCCCTGCCACTGACTGTGCTCCAGTGCAGCTTTTCACCCAGACCTGCAGGTCTTTGTTGATCTTCCAGGTCTTTGCCTCCACCGTGGCTGTCTGCTCAGTGTTTGCCAAGCAGGAATGTTTACAGAGTGTTTGTTCAACAGCTGTCTGACCCCTTCCATCCCACCTCCCTGCACAGAGGGTTTCATCCCATCCCATTAAACCCCAGGGCTTACTGTAAGACCAGAGACCCCAGGAGGCCCCTGGAGCCTTTGTGCTTATCCTCGTGCATTTTTGCCCACGTTCACTGCAGTGCTCTCCTTGTTAAGCCTCTAAAAGGTTTTCCAATGAACCATATGGAGAACTATGTAGGGCAGGGCCAAGTCACAGCGCTGCTCTAGATCATCAATATTGATCCCTTGGCATCATTCGATACTTGGCCTTGTCCCAAACATATACAGAGACTTAGTGCAGCTTTTAAATGTTAAAAGCCTTTGCTGGTCAGGTGGAGAGTGATGTGAGGGGCATTTTAGTAATACCAGATTGATTAAGGCTGCAGCAGTTTTGCTGTTGACAGGACTTTGTGCAGGAAGATGGATTGTGTCTATTCGGACTCCCTACAAGGCCTTCCTGTGCTCAGAAATCAGTGACAGAGACACAGCTCTGTTTATTTTATTTTTAAGGGTTGTAATTTTCCAACCCGCCCTCCCCAGGTGAAAGGTGGCAGAGGGAAATCCAGGTAGTACAGCGAGAGATCTGCTAGGGGGAAGTTCAAATGCATCAGCCACATTGGAATTTAACAGATAAAGAGACCTCGGGGTCATGATAATCCCAAGGACAAACAGGGAAAAGATGATAAAGGTGGATTTAGTGCTCCAAGAATTGAATTTGACACAGCTGGACTTCCTGGAACCACAGTCTCAAATCCAGTAAAGCTGTTTCCAGTCCATTGTTCCTCTTAAATAGATAAATTCCCTTCCAGGTGACCTTCTGTGCTGTAAAGTTTGAGAAAATTCCCTGGCATTTCACTTGCTCAGGGAGCCAGAGCCCAGCTGATGCTGTCACGCTGTCCTGCTACAGAAGTAGGGATCATTTTACGGGCATTATTGGCATATATGATTCCTGTTATTAAAGTTAGGTATGTATCAAAGCATTCAGTCACTTTCTGCCTGGATGACTCACAGGACCATAAAAAAGCTGGGATTGGAGCCACAGGATGTGCCACATGCACGTCCTTCACGAGGAAAAGAAATTAGCAGCCATTAAACATTTAGCGTGCAGACCTTTGAGGTCCGAGACACATTCCCCTTGTTTTCCTTTCTATCCCACATCTAACTTGGATTAGCTGAGCTCCTCAAAGCTCACTCAGGGATTTACCTGAGCTGCTGAGCTGTTGCTGCATCCAGACAATTACTCACTACAGAAGGTTTCTGCCAGTCTTCCCACTCCATCCAGTGTTCAATAAAACTATACAGCCTCAATTTCTTCTGGAATTGCCCTGACTGGCCTAAATTCCTGTAAGCCTGGCTTTCTGGGATCCCAGTTTCCCTCTTTGTACTCACCAGTACAGTTGAGCCTTCAGCCCAGGCTGTGTGTCCTTCTCCACAGCTAGGGACACGAAACTATCGCAATAATCTGATGGATCTTTCGTAAGGACACTTCCCAAGCACACCAGTTTTATTCTGGTTGTTTTTTCATGGCCCTGTAGGAATCCAATGGGAAGGACAGGGCTGCAGGTCAGGGTTTTCCTGAGGTGCAGCATGGACATTACTGGCATAAATTTAAACTCTGAAATGTTTTTGGCGCCGTCTCTTGCTCAAAATTTCCCTTTTAAACCCAAGTGTTGTCTCAGTCATGATGTGAATCGTTGATCTGAGCACTGGATCTCCAAAACACCAACTCAGAACTTCACATCCGAGGGTGGTGTCTAGTGAGTGACATCCCTGCCCATGGCAGGGGCTTGGAATGAGATGGTCTTCAAGGGCCCTTCCAACCCAAACCATTTCGTGATTCTTCGACTGGGCTGGGTCTGAGATCCAGAGCTCATTTGCAATCCCCCATCTTGTTTTCTTGGTGTGTTTTGAGTTTGGTTTTTTACAACATTAAAAAATAAAATAAAACAAAATAAAATAAAATAGAATTAAATTAAATCAAAATAAAAGAGTCTGCCTCACCTCATAGTAACAATATTTTATGTGAATCCCACAGTTGGAGTGCAGAGGTTAAGAAGAGCCCAGCACACATGGGTATGGATAACAGGAACATCTTTTAGTGGATTAGACAAAATAAAAATGAAACTCCTGCTATTTCAACAGCTGCATTGGGGCTGAATGGAAGCTCCCCAAAATATGGCAAAAAAATTAACAACTCACCAGCAGTGATTTTTTTGCTTCTCTCTCTCTGTAATCTGCAGTGGTGACTGGGGAGGGAAGAGGACTCTGAGCTGGGCAGACCCTGGGTTTCTGTTCTCTGGGGGGGAGGACAGAAGTGAACAACCTTTGGTTAAAATGCCACCTGAGTGGGAAACACCTCCTGCTCCCTGAGCCACAGGAATTTATCATTTCTTTTGGGAACAGCCATAACTTGCTGTTCCCCCCAATGTTAGATGGAAATAAAGTTAGAAAAACTGTATTTTTTCCTCAGAACGATTTCTGAAGCTGAACTGACATAATTCTGGTCTGTCAGCTGAGCTCAACTCTCCAGTTTGTCATCTGAAAATGGAAGCAGGAAGAATTTTATGACGTCTAATTAGTGCAAAGTGCTCCTGGTAGCAAAGAGAGCTTTTGGTTCAAGGCTCTCAGGCCACTTTGGGC